TTTTAAGTCTAATGCGGTTTCAGAAAGCTGCTCTTTCTGGGGACTCTGGACTTTTTCTTCTTCTTCTTCTTCCTGTGGTGGCTCCTCAGCGGGTGTTGACTCCAGGGGTCTGGCGACAGTGATGCACCTGTCCTTCCCCTCCCCTTTACTCTCATGCACGAGGCCCATCCCCTCAGCGATCTGGTGAACCAGCAGGCGGTCATGAGAGTTAAAGGATGATGGGAACTGTAGTTCACTCCGATTTGAGTCCTTCAGAAAGCTCTCCACCTGTGCCGTGATCTCAGCAGTTCTGTTCTTCTTCTGCTCTTCCTCTGTCAGGCATGTTAAGCTGGACTTTGCGTGCTTCTCTTTCCCTGCAGTATTTTCATTAGCGCTGCTTCCGGTTGAACTCTTCTGCGGTGGCTTCGTCCTGCTGGGAGGCTGATCTTTGACCTTCTGTTTGGTGGACGTGGAGCTGCTGGAAGACTTTGTGTCTTTGGGGTCACGGGTGTAGTTTTGTGGCGCGATGTCTTGGATGTACTCAAATGCTGTTCTGACCTCGCCACGTTGAGTCATGTGATCGATCAGGGACTTCAGGAAAGCGTGATTCTGGACGGTCTGCGTGTCGCACACAACAGCGATGTGACGCCTCGCACGCGTTACAGCCACGTTAATCCTTCGGTCCTCTGACAGAAATCCAACTGCCCCTGGAATTCAAAGAGTTAACAAATACATGAATAAGTGCTGCTAACATTCATGGTGTTACAGAATCAGACATCCTTTTTTAGCTAAATAGATGACCTTTCCTGTTGGACCGAACTAAGGACAACACCACGGCCTCCTTCTCTCTGCCCTGAAATCCATCCACTGACTTTATCTCCAGCTCAGGATGCCTCGCAGAAAGCTTCTGACGCAGAAGATCCACCTTTACAGAGACCAGAACATCAATGAGTTACTTTTTATGAATCTGCAATGACTGGTCGACTGATTGAACAGTTGATTGAAAGAAGAACAATCTCCAACTGTCAATAAATGAGAAACTGTTGAAATAATTTTTCGAGAAAAATGTTTGCAGCCTCTGAAATATTTTTTCTTGTTTTATATATATATATATATATATATCAGCATTACATTTTCTTTTTGGGGTATTTTCTTTTTAATCCTTTGAAAGTTTAGATATGTTATTTATAAAATATGCAATACAAATTATGCAAATATTGCTTTGACACAGTAGAGTAGTAGAGGTTAAGTTAACATGTATTTTACAGTACAGTTCCTCCAATCAGTGACCTACCTGTAGATTGTACGGAGCGATAACAGCGATGTCTTTAGCTTTAACCCCAGCTTCAGTCAAGGCCTTTATGTGCAGTTCAACGATGTCGACCTCACCTGAGGATAACGTTCACACACGGTCAGATCCCATAAAACCCTATCTGTAATAAAACGATGTGTTCTTTACAGTAAAAATGACTAACCTTGATTGCCTTTGGACTGCTCCTCAGTGACCTCCATCTCGCTCAGACCGCAGCCTGCTGTGTCGATAAGAAGGAGCGGCGTGCTGGTCTCTTCAACACAGGCGACTCCAGGTAGATCTCTTCAGCATCAAAGACAGAATTGTTATCATTTTAGATTCACGGATATACAAACATTAGAGACTCTCCATCATCAAGCTTACACTCACTTTAACAGGTGTTTCTCCACAGAGCTGTGAGCTGTAAGTCGTCCCTGGTACATCTCTTTGGAGGCCCAGTCCATGATGGCACTGTTCATGCGGTACTGGACTGTTAGCATGCGGACCACCGAGTCCCCGTACATCTGGATGAGTCTCTCCATGAGGCTGAGGGACAGGCCTTTGATGCAGCCCTGTGGGGAAAAAAAGAACAATGTGCAACTACAGTGTTTCCCCTATATACAAATAGTGGCAGCGCAGCGCCGCTGCTGAAATATGAGCACCGCTGCTAGGGGGTGCCAGCCAGGTAACAAAAACAAAAAATAATAATAAGTGGTGACCCTTTTTCATTTTTGATTGTTTGTTATGTGGATTTGTAGTATTTTTGTTACTGTATGTTCAATAAAGGTGTATTTTTGCTAAATCTTGAGACATTGCCCCGGACCCCCCTAGAGGATGTGACGTCCACCCCCCAATTCAAACATGTTCATACAATACTGAATACATTTGAAGCCATTTTAACGTCTATTACCTATGTCAATAAGTTTCTGTTTNGTGACCTCCATCTCGCTCAGACCGCAGCCTGCTGTGTCGATAAGAAGGAGCGGCGTGCTGGTCTCTTCAACACAGGCGACTCCAGGTAGATCTCTTCAGCATCAAAGACAGAATTGTTATCATTTTAGATTCACGGATATACAAAACATTAGAGACTCTCCATCATCAAGCTTACACTCACTTTAACAGGTGTTTCTCCACAGAGCTGTGAGCTGTAAGTCGTCCCTGGTACATCTCTTTGGAGGCCCAGTCCATGATGGCACTGTTCATGCGGTACTGGACTGTTAGCATGCGGACCACCGAGTCCCCGTACATCTGGATGAGTCTCTCCATGAGGCTGAGGGACAGGCCTTTTGATGCAGCCCTGTGGGGAAAAAAAGAACAATGTGCAACTACAGTGTTTCCCCTATATACAAATAGTGGCAGCGCAGCGCCGCTGCTGAAATATGAGCACCGCTGCTAGGGGGTGCCAGCCAGGTAACAAAACAAAACAAAAAAAGATTTATTTATTTTTTTAACATTTTTTTTTTTTCTTAAAATAATAATAAGTGGCGACCCTTTTTCATTTTTGATTGTTTGTTATGTGGATTTGTAGTATTTTTGTTACTGTATGTTCAATAAAGGTGTATTTTTGCTAAATCTTGAGACATTGCCCCGGACCCCCCTAGAGGATGTGACGTCCACCCCCCAATTCAAACATGTTCATACAATACTGAATACATTTGAAGCCATTTTAACGTCTATTACCTATGCCAATAAGTTTCTGTTTTTGCAGTGTATTTATCTTTTGTAGAGATTTTTCATTTATTCTTTACATATAAAATGTCGCCTAAAATCTCACCTAGGGCAGCAAATTGTCTAGAACCGGCCCTGGTACTAGGCCTCAAGAGCCTTTTTTGTGCAGACACATAGAAACAAATTGGCGGGGCGCACTTCGCACACACTAAAAAATTCCACGCGCTCCGCGCTCACATTATGCTGGGCCCACATGCCTTAGCACCGCTGCTATGACTCCATCCTAGGGGAAACACTGAACTATGATCATATAAAAGACCCTGATTGCATTTATCAAACACCATCTTACTATGACTGAGGTGTGCTGAAGAGAAAACTAAAAGTGTCAAGTGTTTTTCTTTATTTTATATAAAAGACTACTGTGTTTGTGTTTTTATCTGTGATTTTCTAACTGGTTTTCACAGGGCACATATTTCAGTGCACCAATCCCAAACGTAGCTTTTTATTTCAAATGCGCTGAGTTTTTTTATTAGATGTTGCTTTTGTTGTCAGCACTGTCAATATACTCTGATCAAAGCACACACACACAGTCCTGGTGAAT